AAAGTAAGTTGATTGACAAAAACTCAGTGAAAAATACTGTCCAAGATGACCTTTGGGATTCTTTCAAGGTCCAATTTCATAGGATATTATGAGAGCATTAATAAAGTGCTCCAAATGCAGCACGTCCAGAACCAAACGCATGCCCCTGTGGCCCAGAACCGCACCCCCTCCTCTCCTTCTCTGGTTAATGTCATTTCACCAGGGGCCCAGACAGACACATCTGTAATCACCATACAGCACCTGTGCCTCCTTCCTGGCCTGTCCATCACAGCCCACCGACAGATCCTAAATGCCATCTTACGCAGCAGTCTGGGTATGCGCCCCAGGGCTGGTCCCGTGACCCTCTTGTAAGAGAAGGAAGATACCCCCTAATTCTGCCGGGTTGTTGTAAAGATCTTTAGTTGGACGCCTGGGTGGCTCAGTGGTTCAGTGTCTGCCTTTGGCTCGGGGCGTGATCCCAGGGTCCCAGGATCAAGTCCTGCATTGGGTTCTCCTCGAGGAGCCTGCTTTTCCCTCTGCTGATGTCTCTGCTTCTCTCTGTGTGTCTCTCATGAATAAATAAAATCTTTAAAAAAAAAAAATTAGTAATGCACGTGCCAAGGACTTGGCACATGGCAGGCACCTAATAAACATTATTTCTGCCTCTGCCTCAGATAGGCTTTAAGGACAAAATGGGGACCTGGATAGAAGGCCCAGAACAATGTCCTCAAGGGTACAGCAGCAGGAAGTAAAAGTGTCACCTCCTCCTCTGCTTCTCATCTTGCTGTGACTGTTTCATTTCAGGGCACCATCTATCTTCCCCACGGGATCACACCCTAACCTGGCCATGCCTGGGCCCCATGCTCACCCGCCCATCACGATCATCCTAAAGCACGTACCTGGTCACATAAATGCGTACCTGGCACCCTTCACAGGCTGTGTCCCACTGACCCTGCACAGGGCCATGCACAGCCCTCAGCAGGATACCACGCTCTTCCCAACTTTCCCCACCTTTTCTCTTGGAATTTCCCTCCTCCGTAAATTTTCATGCCCAGGCCACAACACAGCCTCTCTGTTGTCTCCCAATGGTTCCCATCCCATCTAGAATGTTCTTCTATCGCTGCCAAGGCCCACGCTTTCTCCAAGATATGTCTCCAGCGTCATCTGCTCTTCGAATCTCCCCGGGATCCCAGAGTTTTCTTTGTGCAGACCCCACTCATAGCATCTCACACATTATATCCTAATGTGCTGATCTTGTTTCCCGTAGCCGAAAGCCCGGAGGGCAAGGGACAGGCCTCATCCTGTTAGCATTATTCCCCATGCCTGACACAGGACCTACGCTCAAAACACACTTGATGACATCTATGATACAACCACAATATTGGTCTCGTGACTCCTGCGATTTGCAGGGCTGAAAAATAAATGTCTCTATTACCTTAAGGTATTTCTAGAAACTTTTTGAGGTTTCTAAAATCCAATTAATTCTAAAACACATCTCAAAAAGATTTTAAAATGCTGAGATAAAATTCATATAAAAATGCTCATATGAAAGGTGTATCAGATCAAGTTTCCAGCAAAAAAAAAAATTAATGGAATCTCTATAAAACTATTTTTAAAATCTAAAATTTTTAAACATGAGATCTCTGTGTTCTCATCTTCAATAGCTATAAAATAAAATCAAGCAGAAGCAGTCTTAGTTAATGGTATAATACTTTAAGGTTTTCTTCTGCAAAGGTACGCTTAATCTTGATTGAGAAGAACAAAAGCAGAATATACTTCCTGGCTATGCAGGAAAAAGTGAATTTAAAAAATTATTTCCTATTTTCAAATGCCCTGAACCTTTCACAAAAACAGAGTGTGCAAATTTACCTCCACTAATCATCACAAGGACTAACTTTATTTATGTTTTATGTAATCCACAACTATTACCTGCAAACCTGCTATAAATATACCTGACAACACAGAAATAAAAATATCAGTCTGGATAATACCATCTGAAAGTAAGTGTTTAAGTTGAGTCTAACCTTAGGGAAAGGGAAGAGATAAACTGTAGCATTTGGTATAAAAGAAGGAAGGCTAACCCAACTCTTTTTTTAAGAATGTTAGAACATGTGATTTGTGTTTTTTAAATTCCAAATATAACTCGCTGTATTTAGCACCTCCTGTACTTTCCAGTATATTAGATAATTGCACACCAAGTTAAAAACAAAATAAAGGAAAACATTCCTGCCACCCTCCCTTTTCATAAAAGAGATGGAAATTTCACATGCACAGAGTACCTTATAAAGGTCAGTATGAACAGCCCCAAAGAAAGTGGTTTTTTGTCCATTAAAAAAATATTTGGAGGGCTTAGAGAACTCAGGGACAAAGGAGAGGGGAAAGGAGAACCATGCAATTATGGGTTTTGGCAAAACGAATGGGCTGGTACCTTCAGCCCCTGCTCTGGAGAGCTGCATGGTGCCTCAGTGGCTCTGGGCCCTGACCCTCCCACAAATCAGAATGGCACCACGGTTTGTCTGAATGCACTAAGGTTCTATAGGACATTTTGCTTGAACAAGGCTGTGCATAACTTTAAAAAGCCTAAAAATCACTCAGAAGAATAAACCAACATTCAGTGAATAATACTGATATTAATAGCTAAAAAATAACAAAATGAACAGAAGTATTCAATATGGAAAAATAGTTTTAAAACATGGCAAACCATTAAGCAGCAGGAAAGACTACTGTCTGCAGTCACTTTACCTTTAGAAATGTTTGTCTCTGTGGCTTCTGATCAGAGGTTTACTGGGTATATTGTTTGCTTAGGGAGGGGACATGCCAGTGAACTTTTTTCAAGGTGGTTTTGGCAGGAAGACAATAGATGGTTTCAGCAAGGAACTGGCTGTGAACCCAAAGCAAACAGCTGTGGAAGGGTAAGGCATGCTCAGGATGAGAGGTGACATTATTGGGTTTGTTTAAGCAGACAAGTCAGGTCCACTAAATGATCCTGGGGTGGGGAACACAACCATCCTACTGTGGAGACCTACAGAGAAAATGACACTCTTCTGGATTCTTCTGATTCTTCACCTCCTGCGCCTCTATTTCCAAGCCAGTTAGTGCCATCAAAGATCAGAAATTAGAGTCTAGCTACAGTTAATTATGAAGAAAGTCATTATCTAAATACATCAACCATTCCACATGCTTTCTTTTCTCTGATGAAACTGCTACAAAACCAAGTGGCAGGGCCATGGTGCAGGGAGATGGTTACAATGGGCCCACCTGTTCTGCCACTATCCTCCTCCCCTTGGCCCATGGCACAAAAGGCTTGTTGTGACCCTGAACAGAACAAAATTTCACAATCATCTAAGAAGAATCTATTGAATTTGTCTGCCTTACCAAAATGTTCACAATTATAGTGAGATGGTGGGCAATTTTCCCATTTGCCAAACTTCCTAGAATGTGGAAATTATAAGAGAATGTAACTGAGTCTCTCCACACTAAGACTCATCAATTTCAAAAGACAAAGATCAGAAGGGAAAACATTAGTGTTTACATTCTGAAAGCAAACTACAGGACTCCACACTTATACAACAATCTTTTCCATTTGGTTAAAAACAAATAGATGGCAAGATGAAAAACAATCGTCTAGTTTCTAACATCCACAGACACTCTTCTGAAGGTTTAGAAATAAAAATGCTATTTTGCTTCAAACATGCAGAAGCCAAATGTCACTGTCCTAAACATTCCCACTACACTTTGGGACTTTAATTATTCATTATGCAGCTGGCCTCTTTACAGAATAAGAGCCACAATCCTAGTTTCTCCCCTACAGTGAGACCACAATGAGGGGACATTCTATCCCTGCAGCAGAAGGCTGACAAGAGACCGATGCGTGGGCACTCAATCTACACCCAAGACTATGCACACCCAAGGGCTTTCCTGTGCTATGTTCTGGACTTACTGAAGCTCCAGAGGTTTATCTTCTCAAAACAGATAAGATGTAAGAGCTATGTCCCAATTATTTATAAAAAATCTTAATTTCCTCAAAAGACCTCCTATCAATCATCTTACAGGCATAAAAAGGTGGTTTTGGCAAGATTCCAAAATGTTGTCTTGCTCTGAAATTTCTATCTGAAATAGATTAAACTATGGGCTAGATGCTTCAATGCTTCTTAGAATAAGTCATGGTATAAATAAAACTTGACGTATCTATAACAAGCTTTGAAACTCTATACCTTCAACAAAGTATCAAAAATTAATCTGTCTCTCCTCTTAAGATACATAAATAAATTTTGCTTCTGGCACATTTATATCATCAACATCACTACTAAGTACACAACAAAGGCAAAAATAATCGTATTTACATTGTTTTACATATAACACTTATTTTTAGGATATAAAATCTATCTCCCCAAAGAGATAACCACACATCGGTATATTTCATTTTCGATTTTGTGAACCAAAGCTAAATCACAGTTCATCTCTGAGACATACACAATTTTAAACCCTGGGTTTTTAAACAGTACATTATTTCCACTTCTCTTTTTCACTACCACGCAGTATCAGAAGGGATGCAATTCATGGCGCATACCACCTGAGGGCACTCCTAAAATCTTTAAACAACTTTCAGAATCAAGGTCTCTTCTGTGCAAGGATGAAGGAAACCCAGTCCTACATGAAGTTCATGGGCTTGGTAGTGACTTAAAAAACATATTTCGGAAAGCATGTGTTTCTTCATATAAAGGTGAGATGACGATAAATACACAATTTCTATCCACTGCATATTCTCTGAGGTTCACATCCATGCAATCAAAGCTGAGGTTCTAGAGTAGGAGGATCATAACCATCTTCAAAGGAGGTTAAAAACTGACTAACCAATCTTGTAAGATTATCCTTCTAAACTGTATGTCTATCATCAACAAACCAAAGTTCACACTTCTGAGGGAAACAACAGAAATTTAAGAATTACTTCAAATATTATTTCACATACACATACACAGGGCACTTGAGTTGGAGGAAACAAGTAAACCAAGATACCGTACCTGTTTCCTGTGAATTCAACACCTCTAAGGCATGCATCATGGCACTTGCGAAGACATTGGCATCCTCCTTGCTGCCAAAGTTGAGGCCGTACACCTGTCTGGCATCTCGCCACTGGTGGAAGGTCTGTGTAGCCTGATTGTACTTCAACCCCTTAGGGATGGCGCAATTTATCACCACCTGAAAGACAGTGATTCCTCACAAAGTCAACCTAATACTTGGCAGAACCAACAAATCCTGATAGGATGTACTCAAACCTGTTCCTCCCAGATCTTGGCCAAAAAAAAAAAAAAGTTAAAAATCATTCTCTTGGGTAAAGTCGGTCAAGTCAGTCAGCAGAAATAACAGTCTGATGATGGAAGGTAAGGTGTCTGATGTTACAAAGATCTGGCCGTAACCAGAAATCTATACCCTCATTAAAAATCTAAACCCTCATTAAATATCTCTTAACATGCTTATCAAAATATTAATTCAGAAAGCATATAAAACATAAACAGTGAACAGTCCCACGTAGCCAAATCCTGATCAAGAAATAAGAATGTCAACACCAGAAACTTCCTCCATAAGTCCTCTGCCTCCCCAAAGGTACTAGCTACAGTTCTAGCATCACAGATTAGTTCTGCGGGTCTCCAAATTTTATGTAAAGCAGAGTTACACAGTACATACTGTGACATGCCCACTCTATCCTTCACAACGGTTTATGGGAGTCAGCTATTCACCACACACAGCTGTGGTTGATTCTTTTTCAGTGCTCTGTGGTATTCCATCATAGTAATCACACTTATTTACCCATCCTCCTATTAATGAACATTTGGATTACTTGCAGTTTGGGGCTATTAAAAATAGTGATGCTGTGAACATCCTACTAAATGTCTTCTGCTACACATGGGCACCCACTCTGTTGGTCATACACCCACAAGTGGAGTTGTCACGGGCCAAAGACATACTTGACTTTAGCAGAAAACTCCAAGTAGCTTTCCAAATTGGTTCTGTCAATTTTCACTCCCATGGCAGCATACAACAGCTCTCCTACTTGTACGTACCATGCAACATTATGACTGGAATCGTCGGCCTTTATTTGAACACTCCTGATAGGTATGAATATACCACTGTGGTTCCGCTCCATGTATCCTTGATTACTAATGAGGTTTAGTCCCTTTTCGTGTTTTAATGGCTATGTGGATACCTTCTTTTACAAATAGGTGCTTAAATCAAATCTCTTGCCCAACTTTTCTCTACTGATCTGGAAAAGTCCTTTATATATTCCAGACAGGACCCCACTGCTGGTTATCCGGGCTGGAAATACCTTCTCCCCGGGTGCAGCCCACCTTTTCACTCCCTGAATGGGATCTTCTGATGAATACAAGTTCTCAACTTTTATTCAGTCCAAAGCAGCAATCTTTTCTTTTCAGTTAATGCTTTTAGTAACTTGTCAAAGAAGAGCTTCTCAATTCCAAGACCATGAAAATATTATCCCACGTTATTTTAGGAGCTTTACTGTTTTACTTTCACAGTTACATCTCCAATCCACATGGAAAGCTTGCCTTTGGTGTGAAACAAGGTTCAAGCTTCCTTTTTCTTCCAATATGGCCATCCAATCAATCCAGCACTATCAACTGTGCTGCAGGCTTACTTTTTTTCATAAATCAAGTGTTTAAATGGTTTGGTTTTGTTCTATTCATCAATATGCCTAGGTCTGACCCAACATCACAGCATCTTAATTGCTGCAGCTTTATCCTGAGCCTTGGAGTATGTCCTCCTTACTCTGGTGGTCTTCACTACTGCTGTGGCTGCCCTCCATCCTTTGTGCATAGCTACAGTTTCATATTAATTCTGCATGACTTACACAATCAGCCTGTGTCTGCTTTTCACTGGAGGGTTGAGTCCATTTATTATGTTTCATGTAAATTATATAAAATTCAGGTCTAAATCCATCTCACCTTCTTTTAGAGTGTATTCTTATTCCCCTCCTACTAGCTAGCTCGTTGTACATGCTTTCGATGGCCTAGAGAATACAACAGGTATCAGTACCTCACTGTCACTTTTCTATGACAGATGATCATTTAGGATTTGCCCACATTTACACCTGTTGCTCTTTATTCCTTCCACCCCCTCCAAACTTCTGCTAGGATCATTTCTGATTCTGAGGGACACATTTCAGAATTTCAATTTCTTTCAATGTACATCTCCTTGTGATGAATTCTCTCCATTTTTCTCAGAAAATGCCTTTAATTCACCTTCATTTTTGAAGAGGATTTTTATTCTGTATGGTCACTCGTTTTCTTTCAAGCCCACTCCTTCTTAGCTTTTGCTGTTTCTATGGAGAAGTTGGAAGTTGGCTGACCATCCACTGTAGCATCTTCAAGTCGTCCTGTCTTCCCTGGCTGCTTGAGGGTCTCTAGCTCCGTTTAATGGGCAGTGACTTTGTATGATGGGTTTCTATATGGCTTTCTCTGTGTTTATCCCACTTAAGGTTTTCAGCATTTCTGAGCTGTTTCATTGCCTCCTCAGTTTTCCTTCTTCCTTTCTTTCTTCCTTTCCTCTAGACCTCCAAGTACACATGTACATTATACTTTCCCTATGTCTCTCTCTTTTTTTTTTTTTAGATTTTATTTATTTATTCATGAGCGACACAGAGAGAGAGGCAGACACAGGCAGACAGAGAAGCAGGCTCCATGAAGGGAGCCCAATGTGGGACTTGATCCCAGGATTCCAGGATCATGCCCTGAGCTGAAGGCAGAGCACAACCACTGAGCTACCCCGGCATCCCTCCCTATGTCTTTCTCTTAATTCCCTTCACCTCTTTCACCCCTCCACCCCTTCCCTCTGGCAATTTATTCTCTGGATTTAGGAGTCTATTTCTGTTTTCTGGTTTGTTTAGATTCCACATGTTAAATGAAATCATATGGTATTTGTCTTTTATTTCGTTTAGTATTATATCCTTCGGATCCATCTAGTGTTGTTGCAGATGGCAAGGTTTCATTATTATGGCTGAGTAATATTCTATTGTGTACACACACCACATCTTTATTCACTTGTTTATCAGCAAACACTTGGTTCACTTCCACAGTTTGTCTATTGTAAATATTGTTGCAATAAATGTAGGGGTGCATATACCTTCTGGAATTGTTTCCCTTTGTTTTTTATACGTCCATATTTTTCTGTCTTAGAATATCTTAGCTTCAATCTGAATACTTTCTTTTGAGAGAGACTCTCAAGCAGACTCCAACTCAGAGTGGAGCGTGACACAGGGCTCAATCTCACGATTCTAAGATCATGATCTGAGGGGAAATCAAAATCAGATCCTTAACCAAATGACACCCACCCAGGCGCCCCTGAATATTTTCTTCTCCCCTGCATTCCATTTACTGCTTCTCTTTAGCTGTTCCTAGTTTGCTATAAAACCTACCACCAAACTGGTAATGGAGCACTTAGTCTTCAATTCTGAAATTTCCATGTGGTTCTTTTTCCAAGTTTCCATTCTCTGCTGAAATTCTCAACCTGTGTTATTTCCTTGAATATATCAAGCATAGTTATTCTAAAGTTAATTCTGAATTCCCTGTGGGTCTGTTCTGTTACCGCTCCTCTTGCCTCCTCATGGGCCTATTGATTTTTATTTCCTGTCAGATGCTATATATGTGGACAACTGTATGGAAATTGTGAAGCCTACAATGATGTTTTATTTTTCCAAAGAAGATTCACATTTGCTTCTGGCAAGCAGCTAGGGAAATTAACATTCTGAAATCAACTTAATCTAAGAGTGAATGAAGTGATTAAAGGCTGGATGTCAGTTCCCGTAAAGACTAGCCTTGGTCTAAGGCAAACCTCTTCCCAGGGGATGGGGCTTTGGGTTTCCCAAAGGACAGCCTGGGGATGGCCAAGAAAACCCTCCCTTATTAGCAGACCCTAACTCTTAGTTCTTGTTTTGCTAGTCCCAGGAGTCTGCCAAAAGCTCTGCTCAGTCCCCTCTTTCAAAACTGGGGTGTGCCTCTAGGTAAACAGAGGTCTGAAGCTGGGCTCACTTCTGTGGTTCTCTTTTCTTTCAGATCATGGACCTGTAACTCTTGTCATGTAAGCGCTCCAAACACTTTCTTCTTCTTACTATTCTGTTCAATCGTGTTAGTTCCCAGGGAACAGCTGTCTATATTACCTTATCCACCAATACCCTAATTTGGAATTCTTTTTAAAATACGATAACCTCTTAAAGACATTATGCCAGAGACAAACTTGATAAATATTGTCTGACTCCACTTATATGAAATACCTCAATAATCAAATTCATTTAAAAAGGTGACGGGGAGCACCTAGGTGGCTCAGTGATTGAGTGTCTGCCTTTGGCTCAGGTCATGATCCCAGGGTCCTGGGATAGGGTACCACATCAGGCTCCCCCCAGGGAGTCTGCTTCTCCCTCTGCCTATGTCTCTGCCTCTCTATGTATCTCATGAATTAGTAAATAAAATCGTAATAAAAAAAAAAAAAAAAGAATGGAGATTCTCAAGGACCAAGGAAGAGGAAACAGAGACTTAGTATTTAATGAGTTTAGAATGTCTGTGTAGGAGGATGAAAACATCCTGGAGATGAATAGTGGTGACAGTTGCACACCAATGTGAGTGTACTTCATGCCACTGAACTGTACACTTAAACATGGGTAAAATGGGCAGTCTTATGTTGTATGTATTTTACAATTTAAAAAATGATGGCTTGTCATGTGGTGTTTCTACATGTTGGGGTGGGAGCCACAAGTTATTACTGGAAAATTATAAGCCCCATTTTAAAGTGGATCTATATCCCTGCTTGGCAAAAAGTCTGAAAAGGTCAAGCAAAGACCAAAGAGCCACATTCAGTTTTTCAATTGTTCAGCAACAGAATGTTAGAAAAGAGGAGGAAAATGTTACTAAACTCGTTTTATGGGACATGAGAGTGCTGCCTTTGGTTCAGGTCATAATCTCGGGGTCCTGGGATCGTGCCCCATATCGGGCACCCTGCTCAGAGGGGAGTCTGCTGCTCCCTCTGCCCCTTCCCCCTATTGATGCTCATGCTCTCTCTCAAGTAAAATATTTTTTAAAAAAAAATTTTTTTGTGAGAAAATATTTTTTTAAAAAAAATTTTTATGAGAAAATATTTTTTTAAAAAATATTTTTGTGAAAAAATATTTTTGTGAAACTATTATTTTTTAAAATATTTTATTTATTTGAGAGAGAGAAAGAGAGAGTGAAACAGAGTATAAGCAGGGGAGAGGGAGAAGTAGACTCCCAGACCAGGAGGGACTTCAACATAGGGCTCAATCCCAGAACCCTGGGATCATGACCTGAGCAGAAGGCAAAGGCTTCACAAACTGAGCCACCCAGGCGCCCCCACCACCCTCCCCTCCCACCACCATTTACACTTTCAACTCCTTCTTTGAGCCCCACACCATTGGCTGGAAATAAATTCCTTAAACATTCAATCTGCTACTTACGTAGTATTTCACATTTTTGTTTGTCCTAAATTTACTTTAGATTCCTAAATCTAGTTAACTGGAAGGTCAAAAGACCTAATGCATGTTCATAATTTAAAGTCGTATTTATATTTTTGTGCAATTAGCTCTAAATCCCCACCCAAATTCAAGCCTCCTAAAAGGGGGAAAGGGTGGGAAGGCGTACCTCTACCCAGCTCTGCCACACAGAATATGCTGACTGCACTTGCAAAGCACTACTTCAATGCACTATTTTACAAGTCCTTCTGTAATTCTAGACAACTTTCAGTAAGAATTTAATAGATCCTTACCTGATGGTCCTGAATCTTCCTGCCCACCACTCGGAACGTGTTGTTGCCTGTATGGTGATATATATGAACTCTGCTGAACCCAGTTGAGCCACCAGCTGGCACCCACTTCTTGTTGGCATCATCATAAACCATCACAGCAGCTCTTGCCTGACAGATACTCTGTTCGCTGTAAAAAACAAAATAGGCAAACTTGAGATATTTAAAATATGCTAAGTTTCCCATACAGTTATACGAACCAGAGTTAGCCAACAATCAGTGCTTTACTGGCTGTCAGAACAACAGTGAACAAGAAAGAAGCTTCCTGTCTTTATGCGTAGAGTCTAATGGGGAGAAGAGACCAAAAAAAATGAAACATAATGAGGGACCAGGGGAGGTCAGGACTCGTGAAGAGCATTTAGATAAGCAACACAAGAAATGTTTTCTAATCGAATACACGGAGTATCTATATGCTCATGAAACTGAACAGAACTTCAAGTATAAATTAACCATCATTTATTCAACTGTATATATGTTTATAATACTGGTGAGCTGGGATTACTTACTCTACTGGCAAGATTATTTTTATCATCAGGCTTGCTTCAAGGTTTACAAAACAAATTCTGATAAGCTCTATCTGTACCTTGAAATATGGAGTGGCCACTATCAATCAAAGAATGGCAATGTGATTAAGTCCCTGATTCCACTTGGGCAAGACAACATCCTATATACTAAATTTCTTCACTTAAAAATGAGGGCAGCTCCGGTGGCCCAGTGGTTTAGCACCACCTGTGGCCCAGGGTGTGATCCTGGAGACCGGGGGTCAAGTCCCACATTGAGCTCCCTGCATGGAGACTGCTTCTCTCTCTGCCTGTGTCTCTGCCTCTCTCTCTCTCTCATGAATAAATAGATAAAATCTTTAAAAAATAAAAAAATAAATTTCTTCATTTAAAAATCAGAAAATAAAAACGAGATAATTTCTAAAGAATTTTCTAGATTTTAAATTCTAACCTTCCTAGACAAATATTAAAGAAAAGACTAATTTCTATGATAGAATCTTTAAATCTCAGCTTTGTTTAAATTGTTATCAAGTAAGACTGAGATACAGGAATAAATAAAATGTAGAAATGATCTTAATTTCATATTAAGTAGTAGGATCATCTTTTAAATATTCTATACTATCACGGGGGGGGGAGATTGATCTGAATTTTATTACTTCATACCATAGCTTATTTTTGAAAGAATCAAATACCAAGAGCAAGCAACAGAAGAAAACAGATTCGTTATAATGACCCAACAAATATAACTCAATCTACACATCAAAGACCAATCTGATGTTTAAAGCAGAAGTTAATGGAGATGCCCCTGCGCAGCTCATCCAATCTCATTCTTAACAAAAGCACTGCTCATCTACCAATTTCTGCCTCAAAGATTTTCAACAGTTAATCATGTGGGATCTTGGCCAATATACTCAAAAAGTCACTTTCAGACCCTCCCCTCTTATGCTCTGCCCCATCTCTCGACAGCCTGTGATTTGCTCTTGTCATGTGACTTGGCGACAGAATATCAGGGCAGACCCACAGGAGTCCCAAGCACTGGACAACAAAGGTCGCTTCAGAACAGCGAGGTAAATCATTATTTCTAATTTTCCATCAGAGAAACTACAAAAACTCATAACAATATCTGTGTAGCACAAACACTGAAATAGAATGATACTTGTCTAAATTTTTATGTTGCACTGCAATTTCTTGGTAAACTAGCTCTGGATATAACAAGTTAATGACAAAAGCTTGAATTATTTCTAAACGCCTGATTAAAGAGAGCATTTGTCAGCACAGAAGTTAAAATCTCTTCATCATTCACAACAGAAACAGTTGTGAAGTGACAGCATTTACAGGACCCCACACAAAGATTGTGTGATACAAGCTATGGCAAAGTGCCCCTCACATATATAATCCAAGAAAGAAATCTACTAGTCACCAATAACAAAACAGTATTTTCCATTTTCAAAAAAAATTAGTATTTTTGGACATGTTTCCTAAGATTCAAAATACCACTTCTCCTCCAGAAGTCCCAGTGGGATCATAGAAGCCACAGCAATAAACCCCTTGCTGTAAATTAAGTCATTCCATGACTAAAACAAAACGAAAATAAACCTTTTTAAAATATACAGAAATTTTTAATATGTATAGGAAATCTAAAACCAAGAGAGCTAGATACAGTGTCCCCACTTCTTCCTCCATTTTTCTCCCCCACTGCTCGAGTGGGCTACTGGAGACATTCCAAACAATGAAGCAGAGTTAACTCAAGATCGTTAACCCTTGATTAATCAAGATCTATGCAAATTACTTAGCAATCAATGTCTGGTCACTTCCATTTTCCTGGGAAACTTATAACCACAGAAGCAAAGACAAATGGACCTATCCACGAAGCCAAGAGAGGACAAAAATGCAAAATTAGTTGACTAGTTTTCTAAGGAAGATGAAAAGAAATCTTCAAAATGAGATGCTAAAAATACAAATCCAGCTCTAAATATAGCCAAAAAGCACAAAGAGAAGCTAGGATTAAAGAGAAGAAAAATAACATGTCTGTGTGGCAAGCTGTGAGGGACAGGTTTTTCCCAAGCAACTCTGTTGTCCTAAATGCCACAGAGCACGCAAAGTCACGGTAAGGCCCAGGCAAGACAGGACAGCACTGCCCACTGGGATTCTCAGTGACAAATGCAAAACAATTCCTTCCAATTCCATTCCACAGTATGGGAGAACCTCTCTTTACTAGACAACTGTGTTGTAATAAAAATTACTTGGTCTTTGCCCCAGCTCCAGGCACTAGAGCTCCTAAAACCCCTGGACTTATCTGGGCAGTGAGGGTGTTGTTGGTGTGCTAATGAATGGCTCTATGCTTCAAAATGGGAGCTAGCTGTCAGAAATACCAGGCCATGCTCTATTAGAAGGTTAAAATTTTCGGTTCCACCCTACCCCCCACCTCTGGGGAGGAAAGAAGGCCCAGAAATAAGGTTTACACAGCAATGGGCAATAATGTCCTCCATCATGCCTACATAATGAACCCTCCATAAAACACCCCAATGAGCTCACACCTCAGGGCTGGCAGGGTGGCAAGCCAGTAGAGGGCATGGAAGCTCTGAGCTTGCCCCATTCTTTGCACTACACATATTTTTCACCTGGCTGTTCCTAAATTATATCCTTTACTGAAAACAAACAAAAATACTAATAGTAAGCAAAGCAGTTTACTGAGTTCTAGGAGTTGCTCTAGCAAATTACTGAATCTGAAGGGAGGCGGTGGGAAGCATCAAATGTGAGTAGCCTGAGTTCCCCTGTTGTCAGCTGGTTCCTGAACTGGAGTCAGTCCCAAGGGACTGAGCCCTTAATCTGTGGCATCTACACTAATGCCAGAGAGTGTCAGAAATGAAATGAACTGCACACCTAGTTGGTACTGGAAAACAGAACTGGTGGTTGATGTAAGAAAACCACATATATACCAACTCTGATTATAGGTGTGCATAAAACAGGCCAGTAGCACTCAGTTTGGGATTTCATAAACCCACAGACTTCAAACATAAGCTGCATGAATCAATATGAAATTGGTCGACAAGATTTTGGTCTACTTGCCAGGGAGGAAGGGTGGAGGGAGGAAACACCACAACAACTTACTAAAATGAGGATACTTGGGAACTTAAATATCTCAAAATAGGGATCCCTGGGTGGCGCAGCGGTTTAGTGCCTGCCTTTGGCCCAGGGCGCGATCCTGGAGACCCAGGATCGAATTCCACGTCAAGCTCCCGGTGCATGGAGCCTGCTTCTCCCTCTGCCTATGTCTCTGCCTCTCTCTCTCTCTCTCTATCATAAATAAATAAAAATTTAAAAAAAAGATTTAAAAAATATATCTCAAAATAAAAATCGTATCATGTAACAACGTAAACATAACTAGCCTTCTCTACAGAGGCCATTTTTCCATCTCTCCCTGGTCCAGTGAAATACTTCAAGTAAGACTGGCCTCAGGCACAAGAGAGCTTCCTGAACGCCGGGGTGCGCAAGCAATAGAGCAAGCAGAGAAACAGCCCACAGGTTCTTCTGATAACAATTTCCAGCTTTCTCTAGGATTTTGAGCTAAAAAAGTCAAAGGGTGAATTTCCAAATTGCTGAAATTATATACATATGCGCAGGTTTTCAGGGAAAAGTCAAATGGAAGGCAGGCAAGATTTAAGCATCACAGCTACTAAAGAGTCAAAAAGAAACAAAAGATTTTTAAGAAAATGAAGATCTAACAAGCACAGCAGAGACAAAAATGTTAGGATCCTCCTAACAGCCTTCTATCTGCATTATAATAAGCCTCAAAAATAAACAGCTAGTCAGAGTCTTCAACATTCTGAGTCAGTAAAGGAACTACACACAAGATTAAATTAGTAAATTACTAAACTATCGTTTTGTGAAGATCGAGCAGTAAATGAGTTTCATTTTATGATCAAATACTGTTGGTATACATAGTTGATTATAGCTCAACTTCCGGATACTAATTTTGAGGACTGATCACAACACAGAGCCTAACCTGCAGTAAACTACCCAGGTCTATACGACAACCTCTACTATACTACCAACCACTTACAGAAGGAGAATTTGCATTTTGTCTGTTGTGATACAGAGTCAGAGTCATTCCATGAACAAAGATGTAATTCAGAAGATAAAATATTAAAATAACATTACACAAGAAAGCTGGAAATTTTAAAGATAGGATTTCTGTCTTATGCTCTGATGTCAATTTTTTTTTCTCAAGCCTGCACTTTTATAACATTTTTGAAGAGTCTTAGAGTATAAATGTTAGATTTTAACTCAATTCCACAAATATTGCTCACACCTACTGTGCACAACTCCTGGTACACAGAGTCATAGGGAACTAGGTCATCTCAGTTATAAAAGATAATGTACCCCAACTGGAATAATAAACATGTATTTTTCCCAAATAGGAAGAAAACAATAAAAAAGCATGTCCTGTATGGTGGTGGTAAGCACTACAGAATCACAAATAGAGTCTTTTTTTGCTCAGTTCCCCACTTCAAGATCCAGGCACCCTGCAAACCCACGGATCACTCCAGAACCTTCCCTACCCTCATCTGCCCAGGCCCTCAACTAAATCACCACAGCCTGCCAATTCTACTTCCTCACACCTTCATAA